TGGTGGGCGCCTCACCGTCAGGCTGGGGAGCCGGGCCCGGCTGCGCCATGGCCAGGCAGCCGGCCACGGGGAGCGGGATGGGGCTGCCGCGGGCTCAGCTGTAAGAAAAGGCGTCGACCAAGTCGCCGCCGCCGCTGCCCAGGGAGGAACCGCTAAGGCAGGAGCCGCGGGCGCCGCCACAGCCGCGGGCAGAGACGGACCCGAGCGCCGACCTCCGCCTCCTCATCCTGACAGCGGGAAATAAGCAGTGCGCAGGCGCAGGGGGACGGGGCGGCACGTGACGTTAGCCGGAGGGGAGGGGCGGGGCTTCGCGAGGGTGGGGGCTGCGCGGCGGGAGGGGCGGCGGCGGGAGGAGGAGGCCGGCTGCCTCGGCGCGGGAGGGAGGCTGAATCGAGAGGAAGGGGTGGATGCGCCCGGGTGGCGGCCGCGACGTTCGGGCCTCCCGGAGAATCCGTCCTCTCCCAGAGGCAAAAAAATAAGTTGATAAATACGTCGGGACAAAATAGGAGACCGGATGGTGGAGCGCAAATCCATCCTCTGCCTCTCCTCCCCAGCTTTGTGACCTTGGGAGAGTCATTTAACCTCTTGGAACCTTCATCAGTGCAAGGCCTAATAAAAGTATGTATCAGGCAGTTAAGTAGAAAGAACTGTCCGGAAAGAACCGAGCCTGGACCCCGATATTCTGATGTGCAGGTCAGCGTACTTTCCATGAGGCAAATATGTCTGACTTTTATGTGGCAGGCACGGTGACAGCTGCTGAGGATTCGGCAAGATGCAGTGCCTGCACTCTACTGAAGAGGAGAAATAGTTATGTGGGAGATACTGCCTTTACCTGGGCCAGAGAGCCCTGTATTTTAGAGGCTCTTCACACACGCTCCACCGCCACACCTCTACCCCAGAGCAAGGGGTCCACAGTCTTCCACTTCAGGACAAGTTTTGGGCACCAGTGACCCCAGGATGCCTTTCCTTGATGGCTGAAGCTGTGGCCTCTTTCCCAGGTTCCTCCTCTCTAGGACTGCCTGGGTGTTGCCCAAAGTGCCGGAGGACAACTACGTTTTGGAGAGGTGGCATAGCACTTTTGGACATATTAGCCGCCATGCCCACAGATCCTTGGTGGTGTAGGACAGAGATCAGAAAAGGAGACAGGTGAGCCAGGGGTCAGTGGCGCCACCAGGGTCTGTGTTCCCCTCACCTCCTTACTCAAGTACATATATCCCAGGAGTCCGAGATTTCTAAATTCAGATCACTTCTTCAGGCTCTTTAAAGATGCATATTCGTCAAAGACGAATAGACTGTATTAAGAATAGCAGTTAGTTGGAGTGGTTTATACTTTTCAGTAATTTAGGCAGATATATGACATCTATTGCTACTTTTGCCCCAAGTCCTCTAACTTTAGGGGAAAGGCTGTATTTAGATTTGGGTTTTGAGCATTCAGTGTCACCAAATGGCTGACGTACCTGAGAGAATCAGCAGAGGCCCTCCCTCCCCCACACACAGGCTTTCCTGGATGACCAAATCCATACTCAGCAGGGAGACCTTTGGCCAGGATAGGGCCGCCCAGTCTGTCTTCTTGTGATGACTAACAGGAGGTGGGGGCCATAAAGATGGCAGATGCTGATGTTCTCCACAGAAGGGCTCCCCTCTGTGAACGAGTGGCACATTTATTGCCCTTCATAATGGGACGTGAAGGGATGTCCTCAAGATGACAATCTCTCAGAAATTATCAGGCATCTGTTTAGGACACCCAGAGCGTCCCATCCCAAGGGCTGAAAAGCCAATTTGGGAGTCAGGAACGTTGAGAGCTATGTACATAGTTTTAGGTAGACCCTAAGACTCAGTCATTCCACTGTTTTTTTGTTTTTTTGTTTGTTTGTTTGGTGCCTTGAATAGAACTCAGGACCTTGCACCTTCCAGGCAGGTGCTTGTGCCACTGAGCTATATCCCCGGCTCCACTACTATTCAAAGCCTTTATTAAATGTAAAAGAAAAAAAAAGTGTAAATGAAGTGATTCTTGTGTTCTAAAGGAAATTGAGATGTAAGACATGAAATAATTATTTATCAATTATATTGTACATTATACCTATGGAGACACCTACAAGAATATTCATACCAGCATAGTTCATAATACAATAAATGATCCAATGTTCATCATAGCAAAATACATTTAAGCTTTTTTAGTTACATATTCTAAGGTTATACAAAGGAGGTACATGAAAATGGCCAGGTATTATTTGTTGAGGTAAGGATTTGCTAAGGAGAAAATACAGTTCTACTTTTGATTTAGATCTCACATGCCTATTTGGTGTTTAAGTGCAAATATAAAGTAGATAGATAGACACTCCTACAGTTCAAATATGGGAATATGAATTTGGAATTCAGTACTATTTGGATGATATTCATAGTGAATAGCTCAGAATAAAGTAAAAATCTAGTGAAACAAAATCAAAAACTTAATGGAAAAGTGGGCAAAGGACCTTTTTTTTTTTTTTTTTTTGAGTCAGGGTCTCACTATGTAGTTCGAGCTGGCCTTGAACTCACTATGTAGCCTAGGCTCCTCCTGCCTCAGCCCCCCCCCCCAGTGCTGGGATTACAGGCATGCACACCCCACCTGGCACAAGGACATTTTAAAAGGCTTCAAGACCATTTATCAAAAGATGCTCAACTGTCACTCAAAACAGAATTTAAACTGAAACTACAGTACAGTGATACAACATTTCTTGCCCATGGACTGATACTATCCAAATGTGGCAGGCTAGTCAATTAATGAAGGTGTGAGGAAAATGCTAGTTTACATTGCCGTTTAGAAGTACAAAGTGGGACAAATGCTATTCCAGGAATATTGGGCAATATTTAACAAATTTGCATATTTATATTATTTATTCTTTGATCCAGGAATCCCTTTTATAAAAGGATACATCTGCATAAATTGAAACAACTGCACAATAACTGTGACATTATTTTTCATAACAAAATGTTAGAAATAACCAAGTGTTACAAATGTAACAAATTTGTTGAATTAATGATAATATAGTCACAGAATTGAATACCATGTAACCATAAAGAGAAAGAAAAAGAGTTTTATGCACTAATATCAAGTGAATGTCACAATAAGTTAAAAAGTCAGAGCTCAAAAAGTATATGTAGGGGCTGGGGATATAGCTCAGTGGCACAGCGCCTGCCTGGCAAGGTCTTGAGTTCAATTCCTGGCACCAAAGAAAACCCAGTATATATAATAAAGGTGTTATAAAAATTAGGAAGTACACAATATACAGTCTTACTTTCCTCTTGTTTCTTAACTAAATATAGTATACTATATATATTCTAGAATTGTCTATTTCTCCCCCTCAATTTTGACAGGTCATGAATTTTGTGACTCTATTATTAGAAACTTGTTTATTTTATTTTATTTTATTTTATTTTTACTTTGGGGTGTACTGGGAATCAAACTCAGGACCTCACACTTGCCAGGTAGATGCTGTGCCACTGAGCTATATTCCTGACCCCGTATTTTAATTTTTTGAGACTATGGAATTCAGGCTGCCCTTGAACTCACGATGATCTCTCCTGCCTCAGCCTCCTGAGTGCTGGGATAATAGGCCTGTGCCACCATATGTGGTGAGAAGCATGTGTTTATAATTGTTAGGTTTTTCTGATGGAATGACTTGTTATCATTATAAAATGACTTCATTTGTTTCTAGTAACAATTTTTGTCTTAAAGTAAATTCTGTGTCCTCTTTAGCATAGCCATTCTCCTTCTCCTTTGAATACTATTGGCATCAACTATCTCTTTTATCCACTTAGTTTCTATGAATTTATGTTCTTTGAGAAAAGATATACTTAATGATATTTTTATCTATTGCCAATTATTGCATTTTGATTGGAGTATTTAATCTGTCTAAATTTAATGTGAGCCGGGAGTGGTGGTGCACGCTTGTAATCCCAGCACTCGGGAGGCTGAGGCAGGAGGATCTTTGCCAGTTCGAGACCAGCCTGGGCTACAAAGTGAGTTCAAGGCCAGCCTGAGCTGCATATCGAGACCCTGTCTCAAAAAGACAAAAAATAGGGGCTGGGGATAGAGGTCAGTGGCACAAGCACCTGCTTGGCAAGTGCAAGGTCCAGAGTTCAATCCCCGGTACCACAAAAAATAAATAAGTAAATAAATTTAATGTAATTACTGACAGAATAGAAAAAAATAGGACCATAAAGACAGCTTTATATGTAAAAGTATATAGTTGTCTCTTAAATCATAAGGGAGAAAAAAAGAATTATAAGTAAAAACAATTATAAATAAAAGAGAATTACAAATAAATAAACTTTACTAAATTTCACGTATGTAGCCTCTTTTATCATTACTGTTTATTTGTGTGGATTTGAATTTCTGTCTTTCGTCTTTTCATTTTAGTCTAAAGGGCTCATTTAACATTCTTTGTAGGGTAGGTCTGCTAGAAATGACATCTCTTTGCTCATTTGGGGATACTTTAATTTCATTTTGTTTTTAAAGGATAACTCTACTGGATATATAATTCTTGGTTGTTAATCTTTTTCCTTCAGTGCTGAACATGTCATCTTCTGCCTCCTAATTGCTATTTTTTTTTAAATTTGTTTAAGGAAGATTTCTTCTTTATGAAGAAATTCCCTGTTCTTGCAGTTGTCAAGGTTTGCTCTTTAGGGGCTGGGGATTTAGCTCAGCGGCAAAAGCACCTGCCTGGCAAGCGCAAGGTCGTGAGTTCGGTTCCCGGTACCGGAGAAAAAACAAAACCAAAAAAAAAGGTTTGCTCTTTGGCCTCTTTGGACAGTCTGTGATGGATGTGGGTGTGCGCCACTTAAGTTTGTAATAATTGGTATTTGTCTGCTTCTTAGAATAGCAAATTAAAGCCGGGTGTGGTGGCACAGGCCTGTAATCTCAGCACTCGGGAGGCTGA